CGTGATATCTGACGAGCCTAATCGGAGGTGTGACCCAGGTAAACGGGCCCATGTAATACGCCTCTTAATGCAGGTGTGACAACACGCCCTCCTGTTTAGAATCAGGAGTTCGACATAAATGTCTGGTACAGCACACAGACTTTCAACCTGACGGTACCAAAGTACAATTTACCTACAATACAATATATATATACCTACAGTACAATGTATATATACCTACAGTACAATGTATATATACCTACAGTACAATGTATATACCTACAGTACAATGTATATATACCTACAGTACAATATATATATACCTACAGTACAATATATATATACCTACAGTACAATGTATATATATATATACCTACAGTACAATGTATATATATATACCTACAGTACAATGTATATATATATATATACCTACAGTACAATGTATATATATATATACCTACAGTACAATGTATATATATATACCTACAGTACAATGTATATATATATACAATATATATAGTACAATGTATATATATATACCTACAGTACAATGTATATATATATACCTACAGTACAATGTATATATATATATACAGTACAATGTATATATATATACCTACAGTACAATGTATATATATATACCTACAGTACAATGTATATATATATATATATACCTACAGTACAATGTATATATATATACCTACAGTACAATGTATATATATATACCTACAGTACAATATATATATACCTACAGTACAATGTATATATATATATACCTACAGTACAATGTATATATATATACCTACAGTACAATATATATATACCTACAGTACAATATATATATATACAATGTATATATATACAGTACATGTATATATATATACCTACAGTACAATATATATGTATATATATATATACCTACAGTACAATGTATATATATATACCTACAGTACAATATATATATATACCTACAGTACAATATATATATACCTATATATATATATACCTACAGTACAATGTATATATATATATACCTACAGTACAAAGTATATATACCTACAGTACAATGTATATATACCTACAGTACAATGTATATATACCTACAGTACAATGTATATATATCTACAGTACAATGTATATATACATACAGTACAATATATATATACCTACAGTACAATATATATATATACCTACAGTACAATGTATATATACCTACAGTACAATATATACAATATATATATATACCTACAGTACAATATATATATACCTACAGTACAATGTATATATATATATATATATATATATACCTACAGTACAATGTATATATATATACAGTACAATATATATATACCTATACAATATATATATACCTACAGTACAATGTATATATATATATACCTACAGTACAATATATATATACCTACAGTACAATGTATATATATATACCTACAGTACAATGTATATATATATATAATACAATGTATATATACCTACAGTACAATATATATACCTACAGTACAATGTATATATATATACCTACAGTACAATGTATATATTTATACCGACAGTACAATGTATATATACCTACAGTACAATGTATATATAAATACCTACAGTACAATGTATATATATATACATGTATATATATATATATACCTACAGTACAATGTATATATATATACCTACAGTACAATGTATATATATATACCTACAGTACAATATATATATATACCTACAGTACAATGTACAATGTATATATACCTACAGTACAATGTATATATATATACAGTACAATGTATATATATATATACCTACAGTACAAATATATATATACCTACAGTACAATGTATATATACCTACAGTACAATGTATATATATACAGTACAATGTATATATATCTACAGTACAATATATATATACCTACAGTACAATATATATATACCTACAGTACAATATATATATACCGACAGTACAATGTATATATACCTACAGTACAATATATATATATCTAAAGTACAATATATATATACCTACAGTACAATATATATATACCTACATTACAATATATATATACCTACAGTACAATATATACAGTATATATATACCTACAGTACAATGTATATATACCTACAGTACAATATATATATATCTACAGTACAATGTATATATACCTACAGTACAATATATATATATACCTACAGTACAATGTATATATTTATACCGACAGTACAATGTATATATACCTACAGTACAATGTATATATACCTACAGTACAATGTATATATACCTACAGTACAATGTATATATACCTACAGTACAATGTATATACCTACAGTACAATGTATATATACCTACAGTACAATGTATATATACCTACAGTACAATATATATATAGTACAATATATATATACCTACAGTACAATGTATATATATAGTACAATATATATACCTACAGTACAATGTATATATATATATATATATACCTACAGTACAATATATATATACCTACAGTACAATATATATATACCTACAGTACAATATATATATATATATATATATATATATATATATATATATATATACCGACAGTACAATGTATATATACCTACAGTACAATATATATATACCTACAGTACATATATATATATATCTACAGTACAATGTATATATACAGTACAATGTATATATATACAGTACAATATATATATACCTACAGTACAATGTATATATATACAGTACAATATATATATATACCTACAGTACAATATATAAATACCTACAGTACAATGTATATATATTTATACCGACAGTACAATATATATATACCTACAGTACAATGTATATATACCTACAGTACATATATATATATATATCTACAGTACAATATATATATACCTACAGTACAATATATATACCTACAGTACAATATATATATACCTACAGTACAATATGTATATATACAGTACAATATATATATATATATCTACAGTACAATATGTATATACCTACAGTACAATATATATATATATATCTACAGTACAATATATATACTTACAGTACAATATATATACTTACAGTACGATGTACATACTTACTGTATGACGATATGATGTAAAACAAAATACAAATATTTCAATAATAATGAATTGTATAATTGATGTATTTTACACTGTAAAATAGAATATAAATGATTTATCCATGGTACCCTGTAAAAACGGAATATAAGGAATTTGTCTATGATAAACTATAAAACGTCATAAATATAGTTGATGATAAATTGTTAGATGGATGAATAATTATTTATCAATTATTAAATAAAAGATGAATGAATATTTTATTTCACAACAGAAATGATTAGATCAATTAGTCAGATTATTAAGAAAGAACAAAAATCATGTAATAGTTTAAACTGAATTCAAGGAATTTATCTATGCTTTGTCATAAAGAGGATATCTAGAATGGTGATGGTACAAAACTGATGGTAAAATAATTTATGAATTGTCATTAAACAAAACTTAAAGAAGAAATTAACTGATGACGCACAGAATCAAACAAAACAGAGTAAGTCGAATTGACTCATGGTAAATTACGAAACAGAAAATAAAATGTTAATGCATTATTAAAACTGAACATCAATAATGTGTAGGTGTATATATCCATTATATTATATTATATAGAAGGAATTATAAATGATAGCTGAGAAAACGATTAAAAAAATATTAGATACAAATGGATAACAAGAGTCGTATATATGTATTTTTCCTCCGTTCGGAACACCCTCTGATCAGACTCCATAACGAATTACTGGGTATCATGTCTGTAGTATTGGGAAAACATTACAACATAAAACTTAACCTATACATCAGGACGCAATCACTCAGACCACATGAAACAAATTTCAGCTTGGCCCAAGAAAAAGAAAAAAAATGTATATTAACACTGGATTTGAATTAATCATACTAAATCAATCTGGCATGAAACATGTCATTTATGGGCAGTCAATGAAATAGGAAAACAACATTAGAAGAGATAGGTGTAGGACCTTTATATTAAGTGTGTATCAGGCTATATACTGTGTTTTAGTTTGCTTGTAAAACTAATTCCTATGTTGAAAAAATATCTATAACATGCTTTCCTATAAACCTGAGCACCATGAACAATCGACCTGTAATAGCAAACGGCGTAATAAAATATTTATTGGTGCTAATGAAATCTGACTGAAAATCATAGTCAGCAAAAACCTTACTTTTTTGTATTCTGATATGGCATCTGTGGTCACAATTATAACATGACGCATGTATGTCGTTTTTGGTCCCTATATATGACAAGATATGGCATCTTTGGTCACTATAAATGACAGGATATGGCATCTTTGGTCACAATTAATGACATGACACATGTATGCCCTTTTAATAGCTATATATGACATGAAATGGCATCTTTGATTACTATAAATGACAAGGTATGACAGGTTTGGTAATTTTGCATGCAAAATCCTGTCATTTATACTAACCATAAATGCCATTATCATCACGATAGTGCAACTTTTACATTTACATTTCATACGCGTGCGAGTAATTTACGCCGATGATAACTAGATTTAAACTTTTCGAAGACCAGATTTAAACTTTTCGCCGACGACTGTGTAATCTGTCATTTTAACGTCAGGATAGCCACAATCATGACGGTGTATTGGTCAAGACTTGTGTGGCATTTATTGTACTGTAAATCACAATTCTTTCTAGTTAGTTTATGTAGAGGCATTGTCATGTGCGTGTAAATGTTCATTAATAACACGAAAGGATATACATATAATGTCTTAATAAATTACGTTTAGTGTGATATATGCCCATGTGAGACACATGCACCTAAGCCCTTGGTATCCATCTGGTGAAATGATCGAAGGGACTGACTTAACCCGTTCTTCCGAATCTTCAAGAACATACAGGTGTGAAAGATATGTAAATGGAAGAAAATATATAGTGAATGGTTTCGTAATGTTTCTTTCTCTTCTGTTTCAGACTGACTCAAACAGCAATGACATGGACAGAGGATATAAACGGGTCGCCATCGTCGAAGACTTCTTTGAAATCATTTATGGTGTGCACGTGGAAATGGACGGGCGAGGAGGCAAACACGCGGGTCAAAAACGCACGTACAGAGCGGTAAGAAAAACATAGAACGTCTGTTCGTACTGCATGCTCTTGGATGCATGTAGATTGTGCAATATTTCAACATTCTGGTACAGATCATAGTATTAGTATCAAATTCAAAGAACAGATACATTCAACCAAGGTCATTGGTATTCCCTCCAATAAGTATCAAGGTCATGGTCATTCCCTCCAATAAGTATCAAGGTCATGGTCATTCCCTCCAATAAGTATCAAGGTCATGGTCATTCCCTCCAATAAGTATCAAGGTCATGGTCATTCCCTCCAATAAGTATCAAGGTCAAGGTCATTCCCTCCAATAAGTATCAAGGTCATAGGTATTCCCTCCAATAAGTATCAAGGTCATGGTCATTCCCTCCATTAAGTATCAAGGTCATGGTCATTTTCTCCAATTAGTATCAAGGTCATTGGTATTCCCTCCAATAAGTATCAAGGTCATGGTCATTCCCTCCAATAAGTATCAAGGTCATAGGTATTCCCTCCAATAAGTATCAAGGTCATGGTCATTCCCTCCATTAAGTATCAAGGTCATGGTCATTTTCTCCAATTAGTATCAAGGTCATTGGTATTCCCTCCAATAAATATCAAGGTCATCGGTATTCCCTTCAATAAGTATCAAGGTCATCGGTATTCCCTTCAATAAGTATCAAGGTCATCGGTATTCCCTTCAATAAGTATCAAGGTCAAAGGTATTCCCTCCAATGAGTATCAAGGTCAAAGGTATTCCCTCCAATGAGTATCAAGGTCAAAGGTATTCCCTCCAATGAATACCCATTTTATTTAGATATTCTCTCCAGTATGTACTGTTTTAAGACGATTTCTTCCGACACATGCCAAGACTAACAGCATACAGATGTCGTTGATATCCACTTTAACACGTACGGGTGTCATGGCCAATGTCATCACGATTGCTTTTCTTCTCCTTGCCATGTAATATATCCGGTAATTGCTGACGTTGTACGATTTCAAACGTAACACCACAAATAGTGTCTGTAAGAGATCGTTGTAAATCTTGGTGATGATGAAGAATGCCTCACGACCAGGCAATCTCATACCAATCCTGTAAACTTTAGCTTAGTATTTTTGGCAACTGATCCATGGAGACGGTTACAAAGATATATCCGGGCCATATTAAATATAACAACACTGTCTTCACGTGGAAAAATTTTCAAGATTTAAGAATAGCTTGTTCTGGGTGCCGTCAAATTCGCATAGCATTGACACGTCTGGCCCGGTCCAACCATACGTGTTACGATCTGAGTTACACAATGCTCCAGCATACAGGTAGGTCATTGTCAGGTCCAGGTCAACTCCAGGGACATTATTAGTACACGACTTGTATGAATTATTCATATCAAGGTCACGTGGGTAAAGGTCATGAACATATGACGTCACTGAGGTCAGATGAACAAATGAAAATCTGTGATCGATTGATAATGGATGGCGTTTTGACCACGTCCACTGCCAAGAGATCAGCTCGGCATCTAACCGCCCTGTGATATTTTGAACTAAGGAACACATTTGATAAATTATTAATCCTTTTCTGTCTTGGGTACCTCGTTCTCAGTGGTACGATGCAACATTCCTTCAAATACTAACGTGTTTCCTTACTGACCGATAACTTCTCGGACGGGTCACACACTCCCCTTATATAAAAACTTTCTATTTTACTGACAAAGGTATGACGTATTCCACCATTATTCATCCGCTGTATATATCGATACAGGAGTCGTTGTGACCTAAATATTGACTATTTACAAATGGCGTAAACATATATGAACATGTCTAATTTTGCACAAAACCAGCTGCACACATTGACATATTTCCTGATATTATTTGTTTTGATAAAAACAACTAGCTGATGAGAAACGGATACCTGTATGCGCATGTCTGATTTAAGGCATTTGTAAAGTACAAACAACTAGTGGTGTACGGATCTTTTATTTGGGGTATATATTTGTCAATGCTGTGAATATTTAAATAGCTAATATCTAAAGTCGCTTACTTGAATTGATCCGGATTTACATCGCAAATGTTGTCGTTTTAAAAAAAAAACTCTCACCTTTCCGGAACACCCAGACTACTCCTGTCCTTTGTTTCGTTTTTTTTAATCTTTTGTCCTAACTTTGAGTTCTTTTGTCGGTTTGTCGGCCTAGTTGTCAGTCACACAATATCTATTAGTATAGGACCACAGGTGCATGTTGTTTTTTACCAATACAGAGCTCGGAAACACTATATGTGTTGTAATCTGAAGGTGATCGTTAACTTCAGTAGTATTTTACACTCTGTGATCATAAGATATTATTTCTGAGTTGCCTACTCGACACTTTAAGAGTAATGACAGACCAACATTAAAAAAAAATGATGGTACACATTTTCCATTTTCTCATATTTTATATAGAAGTTTGCATTGATTCACTACATAGTTAATCACTGTGCGACGAAAGGCAGACGAGTCGTGTCGATTTAAAAAAAAAAATGACGTCCGGATAGATTTGAGCAAATGATACTGATGTGCCGTCATACAGTGCGCCGCCGAAGCAAGTAAAACAACATGCCTCGTCAGAGGTTTAAAGGTTGTTCGAGACCAAAATCAGCAAAGATACGCGGGGATGTGATTTTGAAGGAGATCTATACTTTTATGTCGGAATGGCTCGTTTAGGTACAATATAAATTGCCTCTGAAACATCCGTTAAATATTCAAAAATAACGCTATATTATCCACAGATATTATATTTCTGCGTATTCCCCCAAAACCTAGTGTTCTTTTGTCCAGTATTCCAGGAGGTATGATGGGTTCCGGTTTTTCAGTGAATTGTGTTTTTACTGCCCAAGAATTTTCCTTCAGTGCTTTAGGCCTGATGTCAGAAATAACAGAGCTTGGCCTGACATAACCTCCTCGCCATAGATCACTCTTCCATTAATCTTAACGAGACTTTTCCAGGTAACGCAATTATTTTCGAAGTCATTTTCAAGACGAAGGTGCGGCGGTGTACTTCATGTGTCGAAATTAGGTCTTCATTCACAAATCTGAATTATTACAATATAGGCCTATCGTGGTTTTGCAATAGGGGCCTAAATTGTTTGAATGGATCAAGTATGTGCCGAGTTTTACATCAAGTGCATCGCAATGTCTGGAAAGAAAATATGTAAACTTTAATTAGTGTCAATGTCTGAGGTTTGTAAGTTCCAACTTTGGTGCATCTTCGTTAAATTTGCCTTGAATCGACACATGAAAGCTTATGGAATGCTATCGATCGTTTGGTGAATGAAAATAACACTAATGTCAGTGAGTGGAAACCATTTCGTTTCTTCATGAATAGGTGTAAGGATTATTAGAAATTTAATACTGACCATAAAAAAGTCGTGTAGTTCTGTTAAACTCCTCTGGATTAGGATCAAATGAAATCATTCACGGAACAAAAATAACCAATATTCAGCATTAATGTTATCGACACTGGAAAGGAGTAGCCCTGGGGGCGGGGCTTAATAATGATTCATAACATTGAAGAATGAAACGGAGAAAAACAATGCAGGAATGAGACTCGTGACCTTAGTATGGAGAAAAATAGAAATGAAACTTGTATGTAATATATATGATTTTAGATATATTAAAATAGAAAAAAGCAGAGGAATGAAAGCCATGACTTAAGTATGGAGAAAAATCAAAATGGAAATGAAACTTTAAATATATTTTAAAACAAAAATAAGTAAAACAATTATTTCCTGTTTTACCATTTCTATTCCACGGCCGATTAAAAAAGCTGCTACAGGTATTTGCCTGTTTCACTTTCCCAATGTGTTTGACCAGATTGCCATCTCCTGTGCGCACTAATTATTGAAAATCATTTTACAGTTATTGATCCAACACAGAAATGAAATAATAATTTTCATGTATTTGTCGACATTATAATATATTTACAACTTAAGAAATAATATTTATTTTTACTTTTTAAAAGAAAAGATAATTTTTTACAATTAGTCATTGAGACTTTCAAACATCCGTTCTGGTTATTAATATGGTGAGATAAATGGTAATACCCACGCACTTGGAATTCTCTGTCTGTGTCGTGAGAATACAGTTTCTTTGTCTTAAAAATAATATTCAATCTTGTTAGTTTCTGATAGAATTTAAAAACTGATTCTAAGTGTTGTGGGATTGTCGTCTTTACCTCTGACTAATTTTTTTTAATTCAACCTGCACGCGCCTTTCTTCTACATAATTATATCAATACAGCGTACAATCGCTCCTTTGTTCGGTAGATGTCGGCCACTAGTCGACGTATTAATTTTACAATGAGACCGTCTTTCACGACGATTTGATATATTACGCTGGAAAATCACCGTGCGATATGTAATTTCGAGGACTTCACTACCGTACGCCTAATAGCCCACCTTGTACTCAACATCCGTATTACAATGTTGTTATTCTAACAGCAATCGATAAAGTGATAACACAGTTCAAATGATATCCCGGCCTGTCGACTTCTTGGTATACCCGACACTCGACAGAGGCAGTGCCACGACCCCGAACTATTTTCTATGGTCTATTTTCCTCCCCTCGATGTTTCTACCTTGCAATTTTCGGATCGTACCTCGGCTCGGGTTCGCTAATTAGTTGGCTACCGTTACCGGGACTGCGTTTGTGTCCTGGGCGCTAATTAATCCTGGCTCGAGGCAGGTGAAGCAACATGGCGATTAGCGGCATGATTCCAACTGCTTTCCGAGGTGGTGATTGTACCTAGCTCGCTGTAGCGACATCCGTGGGCTGGCGAGTCTTTGGAAATTACATCCTGGCTTTTGATAGAGGAGGAAAATTATGTTTCCACGATATTGTGCTGTATGAAATATAGTCTGGCTTTTTCACGGCGTGTAGCTTGTCATATCCAACTATTCCACTGTCGATTTGAGCAGACATACACAAGCCCCTAGGAGGATCTAACTCTCGGTTTTTACACCGAATGAATTGCCGACCTTTTCGCAATATTAACAGA